TACTCTTACACACAAGTTATTGTCATGAAACTAGAAAACTGCTTGTTTTTTGCCCCTAATTCCTAAAATTTGGAGGCAATTACCCCCAAAATCAATCCCAGCATTCCCTTCGTGATATGGAACCTTGTGGTGCAATGTCAGAGAGATCCATACACTAACACATAAGTAATGTCTAGAAATTACAAAAATGCTAATTTTTGGGCCCTTTTTGGCCCCTAATTCCTTAACAGTTGGTACCATAACCCCCAAAATCAATCCCCACCTTCCTTTTGTGGTATTGAACCTTATGGTAAAATTTCATAAAGATCCATTCACTTAAACTGAAGTTAGAGTGCGAAAACCAATGTGTCTTTGGACGACGACGACAACGCCAACGTCATACCAATATACGACCCCAAAATTATTTTGCGGTCGTATAAAAATTACTTGATATTTAGAAGAAAATAAAAATTTTGCAATTTTTCCATTTATAAAGGGCATAACTCTAGAACGGTTAAAGTGACGCCACCAAAATTCAAACTTGATCTGTGTTTTGTGGTAATAAGCATTGTGTATAAGTTTCATAACATTTGGTTGAGGCAAACTTTAGTTAGGGAACGGAAACTAAAAATTTTGCAATTTTTCCATTTATAAAGGAGCATTATTCTAGAACAGTTAAAGTGACGCCACCAAAGTTCAAACTTGATCTGTGTTTTGTGGTAATAAGCATTGTGTATAAGTCTCATAACATTTGGTTGAGGCTAACTTAAGTAGAGAACAGAAACTAAAAATTCAGCAATTTTTTTATTTGTAAACACGCATAACTCTAGAATGGTTGTGTATAAGTTTTATAACATTTGGTTGAGACAAACTAAAGTTAGAGAACGGAAACGAAAAATTCAGCAATTTCTATGTATTTAAAGGGACATAACTCAAGAATGGTAAAAATGTCGCCACCAAATTTCGTACTTAATCTGTATCATGTAGTAATAAGCATTGTGTGTAAGTTTCATAACATTTGGTTGAGGCAAACTAAAGTTAGAAAACGTAACAAAAAATTTGTACACCATCTTAGTTTTGTGGTAATGAATATTGTGTATAGGTTTCATAATGTTTGGTTGGGGCAAACTTAAGTTACAGAATGGAAACTAAAAATTTTGCAATCTTTCGATTTATAAAGGGGCATACCTCAATAATGGTCAAAGTAACACTACCCAAATTCAACTTGATCTGTGTTTTATCAGTGGAAGTCAAAATTAAACATTGCATTGTATAAAGTATTGATTGTAGTTGATTTAACTATAATCATGGACAAAGGAAGATAACTCCAATTTTAATAAAATGCTCCGCTGGGGCGCAGCTAGATACGACCGCAGAGGTCGAACCCTGAACAGTTGGGGCAAGTATGGACACAACATTCAAGCTTGATACAGCACTGAATTTTGATTGTAATTAAATATTTGACACAGCATAGGTTTCTGACACAGAATGAATGTGGCCTAAGAACTTAAATTTTTTTAATTTACCTATTCAAACCATATCATTATTATTTGCTTTTATATATAAATCAGAAATAACCAACTTAAAATGGAAAATTTTAAAGAAAAAAAAGGAAAAAAAAATCCCCCCCCCCCCAAATTTTTTGAACCCCCTTATGATTCGACACCCCCAAACTCAATCCCAGCCTTTCCTTTGTGGTATGGTACCTTGCAGTACAATTTCAGAGAGATCCATACACTTGAACACAAGTTATTGTCTGGAAACTAGAAAATGCTTATTTTTGGCCCCTTTTTGGTCCCTTATTCCTAAACGTTTTGGGCAATTACCCCTAAACTCAATTCCAGCTTTCCCTTTGTGATATGGAACCTTGTAGTAAAATTTCAAAAAGATCCATACAATTACACACAAGTTATTGTCATGAAACTAGAAAACTGCTTGTTTTTTGCGCCTTTTTGGCCCCTAATTCCTAAAATTTGGAGGCAATTACCCCTAAAATCAATCCCAGCATTCCCTTCGTGATATGGAACCTTGTGGTACAATGTCAGAGAGATCCATACTCTTACACACAAGTTATTGTCATGAAACTAGAAAACTGCTTGTTTTTTGCCCCTAATTCCTAAAATTTGGAGGCAATTACCCCCAAAATCAATCCCAGCATTCCCTTCGTGATATGGAACCTTGTGGTGCAATGTCAGAGAGATCCATACACTAACACATAAGTAATGTCTAGAAATTACAAAAATGCTAATTTTTGGGCCCTTTTTGGCCCCTAATTCCTTAACAGTTGGTACCATAACCCCCAAAATCAATCCCCACCTTCCTTTTGTGGTATTGAACCTTATGGTAAAATTTCATAAAGATCCATTCACTTAAACTGAAGTTAGAGTGCGAAAACCAATGTGTCTTTGGACGACGACGACAACGCCAACGTCATACCAATATACGACCCCAAAATTATTTTGCGGTCGTATAAAAATTACTTGATATTTAGAAGAAAATAAAAATTTTGCAATTTTTCCATTTATAAAGGGCATAACTCTAGAACGGTTAAAGTGACGCCACCAAAATTCAAACTTGATCTGTGTTTTGTGGTAATAAGCATTGTGTATAAGTTTCATAACATTTGGTTGAGGCAAACTTTAGTTAGGGAACGGAAACTAAAAATTTTGCAATTTTTCCATTTATAAAGGAGCATTATTCTAGAACAGTTAAAGTGACGCCACCAAAGTTCAAACTTGATCTGTGTTTTGTGGTAATAAGCATTGTGTATAAGTTTCATAACATTTGGTTGAGGCAAACTTAAGTTAGAGAATGGAAACCAATTTTTGGACGTATATACGTACGTACAGACGGACAAGGGTAAAACTTAATACCCCCTCGCTACGGCGAGGGCATAGAAATAGTTTACCTTCTGCTTAATGTATCTGAGAAAACGACCTAATCATGTAACTTTAACTTTGATCACTGATCCATGAAATGAGGTAGAGGTCAGGCGAACCCTGTTTGCAGGACATGTAGACCTTGCAATGGATCCCACATACCAAATATAATGATTCTATCATTCATATTAAGTGAGAAAATTGCATGACAAAAAAAATAGACGGACACATGGTATCATAATAAGGCATCAATATACAAGGTATGAAGCATCCAGGTCTTCTACCTTCTGAAATACATAGCTTTATACCAATAGCTTACACCAGATTAGCATCCCTATGTCTCTCATTGCAGACAAGAAATAAAGTGACACTACCCAAATTCAACTTGATCTGTGTTTTATCAGTGGAAGTCAAAATTAAACATTGCATTGTATAAAGCATTGAATGTAGTTGATTCAATTATAATCATGGACAAAGGAAGCTAACTCCAATTTTAATAAAAATTACTTGATATTTAGAAGAAAATAAAAATTTTGCAATTTTTCCATTTATAAAGAGGCATAACTCTAGAACGGTTAAAGTGACGCCACCAAAATTCAAACTTGGTCTGTGTTTTGTGGTAATAAGCATTGTGTATAAGTTTCATAACATTTGGTTGATGCAAACTAAAATTAGAGAACGGAAACGAAAAAATCAACAATTTTTCCATCTGTAAAGGGGCATAACTATAGAACGGTAAAAGTGACGCTGCCAAAATTCAAACTTGATCTGTGTTTTGTGGTAATAAGCATTGTGTATAAGTTTCATAACATTTGGTTGAGGCAAACTAAAGTTAGAGAACGGAAACCAATTTTGGGACATACATACGTTCGTACAGACGGACAAGGGTAAAACTTAATGCCCCATCCGCTACGGCGGGGGCATAAAAAACAAATATTCATAATAACCGTAGAACAGTAAATTCAGTGCCTTTTCACATTGGCATTACATAGTTTGGAAATATTTATTAGAATGTGCCCTATTGTTACAAAGTGTAAACAAATGCTTAATTTGTAAGCACAATCTTGACATTCATACCTATCTATTGCATTAATTTACAAATAATTCTTTCCTGACTCTGTGTCAGCAATGACAAGAACAGGAATGTTTATGTTTGTCAAAAATAGTAAAAATTATGAAGGTCTCAATTGTGATTGCTGCTGTCAGTTAAAAGTGTATTGTTGACTGTCAAAAAGTCCATTTATGAGTAAAATACAGAAAAATTCAGATGCTCATGCTTGTTCATGAAGAAGCTTCTTTCCAAGTTCCATGAAGTACATTATTGGCATTGCATATATATATATCAATCAATAGCCATTAAAATTTATTTTAATTAAATACATATAGATTCTACCACTGCATCGAGTGTGATACGATATTTATCCACTCGAGACCGTTAAATTTTCAAATTTAAAACGCGAGGCTTGCCGAGCGTTTTAAATATTTAAAATTTAACTGCCAAGAGTGGATAAATATCGTATTACACGAGATTTGGTGGTGGAATCTGTTTCTCTAATGATTTTCAAACAATACGCAGGCAAATTTATTCCTTCTTTTCGAATGATCTGCAAAAAGATGTGTTCTTTCTATGTGACGTCATCAGGCATGGTCGCCTTTTTTCATGCCGTCACAATAGGAAATTCAGAGGAAAGCAAGAAAATTCGACGTCATAATCGGATTTTAACCAATGAAGAACTGAGATCAAACGAACCACATGTTGATTAAATTTTTTTTATACAATGGGTGCAGAAAGGGATAAATTGACGAAGAATTAGAGAAAAATCTATATATGATTCCAAATTTTATTGGATATTGCGAATGTTTAATATGAGCTAAAATGACTATCCATCAACTACTAAATGAAAAAAAAGTGTTAAAACATGTCCCAACCATTTGTAAATAACCTATCACCATGCTTCATAAGGGCAATTATATCTATTTCAGTATTCCATGAAGCAGTTGGCAAATCTGCATTGTGTGCAAAATATGGTGAAATTTTAAACTGATACACTTAGACTATTATCATGTCCTGCTCCACAGTATGGTAAAGGAAGATTAATCAATGTTGGTTGGTTCTGCAAACTTCATAGAAAAATATCAAGGTTTATATCATTCATTTATTACATATCTAAAATAAAATGTACTACACCGACCATTTTCATTGTAAATAACAGCTTTTTCTTACCAAAAATGTAATCACAACTAATATTCTACTTGTTGTATACTTCTGATAAAATCTCACTGTATTTATGATATATCACAGTTTTGCTTCACACTTTCACGTTTGTTTAAATATTGTTTTTAAGGTTAACCAACTTTAAAAAAAATGTCATATTCATAATATGTCCTCTCTCTAATAAAAATTGTAGACCTTTCATATATTGTTTCTAAGAAGACTTAACCCTAAAAAATTGAGGTGAATTAAAATAATTTATATAAGATAAGATTTTTTTTAAGTTTCCATAAATATGTAGGATGATTTTGAAAAATACTGGATTCAAAATTTTCAGTTTTATGAATTTTGATTATAAAGACAAAAAGAGGAGAATAATTGTTTTGCAAATAAAACAAAATAACTAATTTATTGAGAATTTATGATATTCTCATTATAGTGAAAAATTGACAGGATTTTAAATTGCACTATTGAGAATACATATATTTTATAATTTTATAGCATTAATTGTCCAGAAATTGTGTCAATTTACCACATACTTCTGTCCATTGCTAAACAAATGCATTATAATTACTGAATTAGCATGTAATTTCTATATGAATTATCTCCCCTTTGTCAGGAATTATTTGAGTTAATGCTGGAACTATTATACTAACAATATATATTATGTCCCAGGTTTATGCAAATGTTATCCTCTTTGAAAAATTACACATTCTTCAATTCATGAGAAGGTCAATAACTGCAAATACTTAAAATATATCTGTAAGAATATCACAATCTATTTATGAGAAAATGTAGTACAATGTACTGCCATGAAAGTATATATATATAAAACCAACAATAATTGTTGGTTTTATCTAAATGTTTGCAAATCTTTAAAGCATATGACACAGACTAATAAACAAGAAATAAATGGCAGCCCTATATATGTTATGTTGGATAATCATTGTAACATTATCTGCTTTTTACCTGAACATTGTTCATGTAGTATGAATCAAGGCCATATGAACTATATCTGACAAATATGCATACCATACATCAATTCACATTTGAATTATTATTTAAGTATTTGTTCTTTTAAAAATAGTTAGGTTTCTATAAAATCCTGACCACTGGACTGTTCCAAATGGGCACATTATCCATACAACAAATTATGAACAGATATATCATGTTAAGGAAGGATATTTGCAAAATACCAGTTGAAAGAAGGTAACATTTCCTCAGCTTCCAGGCAAAGAAAATTTCTTCTTCAAACTGGTCTTTTTCGCAAATACCCTACTGAACATGATAACTCTGCTTAAATTAAAATTATACTGAATATCATTAGAGATGGATAGTTTAAATATTTAAAATCTAATAAATTCCATTATTTTTCCGCTTCACAATGTGAGGAAAAAACTCATTTAATAAAGGGCATAACTGATCAAGTGTCTCCTTTGAGGGTAAAAATGAAATATACATGTATGGGTTGGCAAATGCCCCTGTGATGGTGAAATATGAACAATATTCATTTAAACGTTAACATGAATATACAAGAAAATTACACTAGCTATCAACCAATAAAACGCAGGATACTTACATAAGGTGTAATTATATGCAAAATATTTCAACCAGTCATGCATAGTTACCACGAAAGTTACTCATGATCCTGACCACTAGTACATTTAAAAAAGTTTAATATCTGCTAACAAGATTTGACCACAAACAGCCCCCGTCCATACACATTTTAATTAACATATGTGAAAGAAGGTAAACCATATCAAGGTATTTGACATTTTCAACATTGTTGCAATAAAGTCATATCTGTGTGTTGCTTCCAACTTTTACTTAACAAGTGAGACAACATACACAGTACTGACTAGCTTATTGTTTTCTTTTTAATTTTAGGTTTGAGTTCATATGTGACAAAAACTTTACTAGAAATAGAAATAGTAGCATTTGTCACTCTTTGTTGAACAGATTTTACAGATTCTATGTCTTCCAAAGTTTCATTAGATCCATTCCATTCTTTTGTTTCCTCTTCCCTGACACAGAGTGGCCTACCTACAGCCTGGTGTACAAGCCTAGCCATTTCCTGAGCTTTTTGTTTTGCATTGTGAATGGCAAGTAAACTGGCCTGCTGCCTAAAATCAATATACAAAATGTTAATATTTTATTAAGAAATATTAATAAAAAATTGTAACAATTACAATCTATACATCATATTAAAGTAGCGGTCTGTTGATAAAATATTGCAGCTTGCTTAAAAAGTAGCTGTTCCATTCATTAAAATCAATTCTCCATACCCACCAACTTTCCAAGTCTCCATGGTGTTTTTTTTTTTTAGCTGAAAAGGACCTAATCATAATTGGTCTCTTACTCATGCCATAAGTGTTTTTAATCTTATTCTTCAGTTTAAGAGGATTATTTGTTCAGTGAAGAAGCTATCTATACTCTTTTGAATGCCTGTTGTTAGGTATTTTGTTTTTATATTGGAGGACAGGTCAACGTCTCACCCATAAATCTATATTGGAGGACAGGTCAACCTCTCACCCATAAATCTATATTGGAGGACTGGTCAACTTCTCACCCATAAATCTATATTGGAGGACAGGTCAACCTCTCACCCATAAATCTATATTGGAGGACAGGTCAACCTCTCACCCATAAATCTATATTGGAGGACAGGTCAACCTCTCACCCATAAATCTATATTGGAGGACAGGTCAACCTCTCACCCATAAATCTATATTGGAGGACTGGTCAACTTCTCACCCATAAATCTATATTGGAGGACAGGTCAACCTCTCACCCATAAATCTATATTGGAGGACAGGTCAACCTCTCACCCATAAATCTATATTGGAGGACAGGTCAACCTCTCACCCATAAATCTATATTGGAGAACAGGTCAACCTCTCACCCATAAATCGAGAAAATTGGCAGGTTTGATTCTCACAATAGATATAAGAAGATGTGGTATGAGTGCCAATGAGACAACTCTCCATCCAAGTCAAAATTTATAAAAGTAAACCATTATAGGTCACAGTACGGTCTTCAACACAGAGCCTTGGCTCACACCGAACAAGTAAGCTATAAAGGGCCCCAAAAATTACTAGTGTAAAACCATTCAAACGGGAAAACCAACAGTATAATCTATATAAAAAACGAGAAACGAGAAACACTTATGAACCACATCAACAAACGACAACTACTGAACATCAGATTCCTGACTTAGGACAGGTGCAAACAAATGCAGCGGGTTTAAACGTTTTAATGGCCAAACCTTCACCCTTTTTACCGAAACAATAGTGTAAGATCACAACATAGAAAGACACACTATAAAATATCAACTGAAATAGCTTCACTCAATCAAAGGACATATCAACACCATTGAACATACACTGAACAAATAAATTTGACCTATGATACAATGTAAATACAAAATAAATAAACTAAGCAAGCACTTATTTCTTATAAAAAAAATATACCAATATTTAATTTTACATACAATGTGTATTCATGGCTTAAACTCTCTGTTGGGGGAATCTAATACAGGACTTAAAAATTATATCAAGTTATTATTATGGGATGTGTCGTGTGTGACAGATTTCGTTTCAATTTATGTTATCAATTGAGTAACCAGTAATTCAGAGTAAAAAATATTCTAAACAACATTTATGTATGAAAATTTAACAAATGGGGAAAAGGTTGAGGAAACATGGAGATATACAGATTCTACCACTCAATATACAATATTTACCGGGGTTTTACCCTCTCTCGACAGTTAAATTTGAAAATTTAATAAAATGCTCTGCTGGGAGCAGTTTGATACGACTGCAGAGGTCGAACCCTGAACAGTTGGGGCAAGCATGGACACAACATTCAAGCTTGATACAGCTCTGAATTTGGATTGTGATTAAATATTTGACACAGCATAGGTTTCTGACACAGAATGAATGTGGTCTAAGAACTTCAAAAATTTTAATTTACCTATTCAAACCATATCATTATTATTTGCTTTTATATATAAATCAGAAATAACCAACTTAAAATGGAAAATTTTAAAGAAAAAAAAAGGAAATAAACTGCTTCGCTGAGCGCAGCTGGATACGCCCGCAGAGGTCCATCCCTGAACAGTTGGGGCAAAAATGGACACAATATTCAAGCTTGATACAGGTCTGAATTTGGATTGTAATTAAATATTTGACATATTATAGGTTTCTGAATAAATGTAGTCAAAGAACTTGAAATTGTTTATATGAATTGAATTTATATTCAACAAGCATTCTGAGAGTATTGCATGGCAATACATAGTCCCCTATCGGGTAAAAATTCATTATACTGGAACAAAAAGCTAACTTGTCCTATAACTTGTTATGGTGTAAACAAAAAGAAAATATCAAGTCAATATCTTCAAACATGACTAAAAACAGTGTGGAAAACTGATTAAATGAGTGAATTTTTCAAGTCCAAGGACCATAACTCTGCACAAAATTATCTGACCGAAACAAAATTTTGAACTTGATCTGTATAACTTGTCATGATAAAACTATATACCAATTATCAATCAATATCTTCAAGCATGATGAAAAAAAGTGTGGAAAACATTAGATATGATTAATAGTTCTCTAAAATTAGATATGATGTAATACAGTGTATATCTATTTTCAAATCATAATCAAATACAATTAATAGTTCCAAATATTTTTTCTTTTATTTGTTACAAACTAATATAGATTTGTAACTTATCAATAAAATGTCAACAATTTTTATCTACACAATGTAATATAATATATAAATTAATAAAAATAGATTATTATCTAATTAAAGGATTTCACTTCATAATTTTTTTTATATATATATAGCATTCAGAAAATTAGTTTATACATAATAACAAATAAACCTGCCAAAAAATTCTTCAGATAATTTACCAAAGAATGTCGTTTAAAAAATGAGTTATCTCCCTTTGTACAGAAATATGATCAAATATGGTTTAACATAGTACTCTTAACATTAGATATGGTCCAGAACTCTGGACTAAATCATCAGACCGGAACAAAATTCAAACTTGATCTATAACTTGTCCTGGCAAAACTATATACCAAATATCAAATCAATATCTTCAAGAACAAAGAAAAAAAGTGTGGAAAACTGATTTGCCGGACTGACGGATGGACAGACGGAGGGACAGACGGACAGAGTGCAAACCTAAAGTCCCCTTCGACTTCGTCTGTAGGGGACTAATTAAAGATTTCTTGCTGTTGTGCAATACACTGTGCTGTTGCGCAATACTTAGTAAATCTGTTGTCAGACTATAAACAAATAAAGTTCAATTAATTCTCAATGTCATATTAGAAATTTATGAAAATGTAAAGGGAACTTACATCAACAGATATAAACAATTCACCAAAGTTTCATGAGAATTGCTGACAGCATTTTTGAGTTATTGTCCAAAAACTGGAAAATCACCCCTTTTTTTAATGAATAAAACCACATAACTCAGAAATGTAAAATGTAAAATTTATAAAATTCTAAACAGAGCTTACATCAATAGATATAAACAATTCACCAAAGTTTCATAAGAACTGCTGAAAGCATTTTTGATTTTTTGTCCGAAAACTGGAAAATCCCCCTTTTTATATGACCGCAAAATTAAAAAATTTTTGGTCGTATATTGGTATCACGTTGTCGTCGTCAGCGTCGTCCGAAGACAGATGGTTTCCGGATAATAACTTTAAAATAAGTAAATAGAAATCAATAAAATTTTAACACAAGGTTTATAACCACTAAAGGAAGGTTGGGATTGATTTTGGGGGTTATGGTCCTATCTGTTTAGGAATTAGGGGCCAAAAAAGGGGCCCAAATAAGCATTTTTGTAGTTTCCAGACAATAACTTGTGTTAAAGTGTATGAATCTCTCTGAAATTATACAAGTTTCCATACTACAAAGGGATGGTTAGGATTGACTTTGGGGGGTTATGGCTCAAACCATTTAGGAATTAGGGGCAAAAAAAGGGGAAAAACAAGGGTTTTCCTGGTTAAAGGACAATTGAGACAATTTAAAAGCAGTGATTACCTCCCTTACACTGCTTGTAAATTATGTATTAAGAAATGATGATTGTCGGAGATACTGACCATAACTTGAGGGAAAGAATTATTTTTTGGAATAAGGGAAAGGGGGGAAGTGAAAAAAATTGGAGGGGGACAATTTTTCTCATTTCAGATTTCAGAAATTAAAAGAAAATTTCTTCAAATAATTTTTTTTGGGGGTTATTATTCAACAGCATAGTGTATTGCACAAACGCAAAAAAACGGGGTAAAATTTTTTTTTTTTGGGGGGGGGGGGGGGGGGGGGGGGTCAATTGGTATTATGTGTCAAAAATTTTAATTACAATCCAAATTCAGACCTGTATCAAGCATGAATATTGTGTCCATTTTGGCCCCAACTTTTCAGGGTTGGACATCTGCGGTCGTATACAGCTGCGCTCAGCAAAGCAATTTATTTTATGAATAAAACCCTGTAACTCAGAAACGTAAAATCTAAAATATATAAAAATCAAAAGGGAGCTCACGTCAATAGATATGTTGACGACGGACGGACAGACGGACAGACTGATGGACAGAGGTATACCATAATACGTCCCGTAAACGGGCGTATAAAAAAGGAAAAAAAAAATACCCACCCAAATTTTTTGAACCCCCTTATGATTCATCACCCCCAAACTCAATCCCAGCCTTCCCTTTGTGGTATGGTACCTTGCAGTACAATTTCAGAGAGATCCATACACTTGAACACAAGTTATTGTCTGGAAACTAGAAAAATGTTTGTTTTTTGGCCCCATTTTCCTAAACGTTTAGGGCATTTACCCCCAAACTCAAACCCAGCTTTACCTTTGTGATATGGAACCTTGTAGTACAATTTCATAAAGATCCATACACTTACACACAAGTTATTGTCCTGAAACTAGAAAAATGCTTGTTTTTTGCCCCTTTTTTGGTCCCTAATTCCTAAAATTTTGAGGCAATTATCCCCAAAATCAATCCCAGCATTCCTTTTGTGATATGGAACCTTGTGGTACTATGTCAGAGAGATCCATACACTAACACACAAGTTATTGTCTGGAAGTTACAAAAATGCTTAT